TATATATATATATATATATATATATATATATATATATATATATATATATATATATACATACATATACATACAGACTATGAAGAGATGCATGGATTCTTATCTAAACAGTATTCCACAATCAGCACATTTGCAATATTCCTTTTTTTAAAAAAAGACCGGTATATAATTACAGGCAGGCACCAAGATTTCTGCAGGCATCCACACACAATACACACAAGAAAAGTTCAAGGCAGTTGCCTAGAATTCTACACTTTCTACTTTTCTCCATACACTTCGGGAAGTTTTCTCACTCCTGAGGAAGGCGGCTGCAGGCAGCCCAAAGAAATCTTTTAACACCCAGAAAAATCCCGAATTTGCCTTATCTGAACTCGGAGGAGACCTTCCCCAGAGGGGTTTCAAAGCAGCTAGAACTGCTTTTCATTAAAGGTCTCTCTCCCAATTCAAAAAAAAAAAAGAAACAAATGGGTTCAATTCTAACTTCCCACTACCTTCTGCATCCCCCCCCACCCAAAGTCTTTATTTCGAAACGGGGGGGGGGGGGTAGGAAACGGACGAAAGATTCGACATACACCCAGAGGAGGAGAGAGACACATCCACATTCGCACAAGAGTGAATACCTTTCTTTATGCAAGAGAGCCAGCCGTTCCTTGGGGACTTTAAGCTTCTGAGACAGCCTCCTCTTCAGACCTTCCACCGTCTCTTCCACGGGGACAGAGAGCTCATACCGGGCCCCGGTGGTCGTGTGAATGAAAACATTCATAGGAGGGTCACTCTGGACGGTGTCGCAGGCTGGGGGCCCCCGGCTGCAGCTCCTGGGGGTGGGTTGGTGGTCCATTCGATTCACCTGGGGTGGAAAGGGGGGAGGAGGCCGAGATGAGGCCGAGAAGAAGCTGGGAGGCAGGCTGCCCCGCAGACAAAGGAGCGCCTTTTTTTTCCCCACCCGCCGCGTTTACACGACCCTGGAGCGACTCCGTCTCCTCTTCTCCCCCCCACCCCCACCCCCACCCACCCCACCCCGCCGCCACTTCCCTCGGCCGGGCGCAAATTCAAGTCCAACTAAACGTCTCCGGATCTTTTCAAGAAAAGTTCTGCTCCGCCAGCCACCCGTGCGCAGAGACCGCGGAGAGGGGGGAAGGGGCGTCTTTTGTCCTTTCACGACCCCCTTCCGCCAGAAAGCTACCCGCAACTCACTTATTTCAACCCCCCCCCCACTATTCCCGCGGATTACACGCGTCCTTAAGGGATGGGGGGGTGGGGAAAGGATATTGTTCTTCTTCAGATCCCCGACACACACACACACACATTACATTCCATCCCACACCCACCCCCCAAATAATACTACCTCTGCCTTCTTACGGAAATGCAGCAGGGAAGCTTAAAAATAAATTTAAAAAAATCTGAAAAACCCAAGAAAGGAGGAAGAAAAAAAAAAAACCAAAGGAGAGGCGCGCGGGCTGTACAGCTGGCTTCCCCCACCTGGGCTCGAACCCGTGGCCAAACGCGCGCACACCGAGCAGCGAAGCAGCCGGCTCCCGCCGCCGCTGCTGCTGCTGCCGCTCCCGGAGTCTGGTGTGAAAGTAACCAGTGCCGGGAAGACACAGCGAAGGAGGGGGAGATGAAAGAGGAGGGGGGGGAGGAGGAAGAAAAAAGTTAGAATGTATCAACGTTCTAAATGGGCGGAATTACTCTCCCCCTCCCCATTCATTCTTTTACTCCTTTTTTTTTCTCTCTCGGCCAGCCCCGCCGCAGCCAATCGGAGCTCTCCTCCCGCAGAGACGCCAGCGCGGCCGACCAATGGCTGTCGCTTCGCGGCTCTCCCCCACGTGGAAGGAGACCGGATGCTTCGCCTCGCCTCCCCCCCCCCCCGCCTTCGCCCGCCCCGCCAGCGATCAAGCAATAGTGGGCGGGGCTTTGGGTGCCAGAATGGAGTTTTTCCTCCACCCACGCGCTTCTGCGAAGCCAGCCCCCGTATTTCCTCGCCCTTCCCCCCCCCTTTTTTTTTAAAGGGCCATTCATGATGTATTATTTCTACAACAAAGAGCTTTATTAAAAAAAAAGAAGTGATACGGCGTGCGGGAGTTTTATCGAGACGGAGAGATGCACAGGCGGCGATAAACGGAGGGATCGCAATTGTAAAAGGGAGGGTGGGGGGGATGCAATTAAAAGAGGCAGGAGGGTTTATTCAAACGTCATAATTCGGCTTTTTTTGGTGCTTCAGAAAAAAATCGGTGTTTTTTTTTTTAAAAGAAACGCTGCAATATAGCTTTACGTTTATTATTTAGGAAGGGTTTCATTTGGGATTTCTTTCGGCCGTTTAGATTGAATCTTCTTGCAACTGAAACAAATGCTGGGCTACATGCACTTTTTCCTCCGGGAAGTAACTTCTACTGTTCCCTGGGGCTTTTACTCAGAAGTAAACATGACCAGTCCTATTTATGTTTCCTATCTCCACTATAAGTCGGAGTAACAGGCTTAAACTGGAACAGAACCAGCCAAATAACTGAGTGTGCAATTGTTGTCTCACTGGGGGGGGGGGGTAAGGAACAAGAGGGGTAGACACTTTAGTGGGGGAACCCAAACAGTTAGCGTGTTGTTATTAACGATATAATTAATAAAAGCCCCGGAGGATTTCAATGTATCAAAGTCTCATTAAATGCAATTTTAAAAGAAGGATGAGAAACGCGATCCCTGCGTTCCTGTTCCATTGTGATCTATTTCTTTTGATAACTAGAAATTCTTCACATCTGAGAGGCATAATTTATACAGTAGAATACTTTGTATATAGTATAGGTCAGGGGTCTTCAAACTTGGCCCTTTGATGACTTGTGGACTTCCAACTCCCAGAATTCCTCAGCCAGCCCACAAGTCATCAAAGGGCCAAGTTTGAAGACCCCTGTCCTTATATATACAAGGAGTATAAATCCTTCCATTCCCCACCATCCAGTCAGAGCTGAAGAAGCTTCTTGGATGAGAAGTGAAAGATCTTCAAAGAGAAAAAAGAAAAGCCAGTTGCCTCGTGAAAAAACACCTTGGGGACAACCATGACCTAAAGCAGGGATAGGCAACCTTGGCTCGTTTATGACTCGTGGACTTCAACTCCCAGAATTCCTGAGCCAGCCATGCTGAGGGAAAGGGAGAGGTTTCCAAGCTGAGCCATGCCGGCTCAGGAATTCTGGGAGTTGAAGTCCACGAGTCATAAAAGAGCCAAGGTTGCCTACCCCTGTCCTAGGACGAAGATTAAGAGCAGGGGTCTTCAAACGTGCCCCTTTTATGACTCGTGGACTTCAACTCCCAGAATTCCTGAGCCAACATGCTGAGAGGAAAGGGAGAGGTTTCCAAGCTGAACCATGCCGGCTCAGGAATTCTGGGAGTTGAAGTCGAGTCATAAAAGAGCCAAGGTTGCCTACCCCTGACCTGGATGACTGAGAATCTCCATAGACACCTCCCCCATCTTACTGGGAAAAAAAAAAAGAATAGGACCTACCGCTGTCCAGATTGGCCACCATAAAACCTATAAACCTGAGTTTCGATAGACCTTTTTTCTCAGCGTGTCACGAATCACGAGATAACCCTTCTCTTAATCCCTGAATACACAAACCCATCAAATGTAGTTCCCTCCTTCCCTGCACCCCCAAAACTGTTTGCTCAGGTGGTGAACAAGAGCGGAAATCTAAAAATCTAAATTCCCTTTGGAGAAGGCAGGAAACAGGCAAAAATGGCTAATGTTATGTTCAGCTTCTTTAACACCAGCAAAAGTTAAACATCCCAATTGTTTGGAGAAAATAGTTCAGTTATTATATTGCTCTTCTCACTGGTGCCTTAATCAGCCTCCAGATGTGTCAGGATTAAAACTCTCCAAATTCTTTCCAAGAATTCTTGGAATTGTATTTTCCTTCTGCCTCTGGAAGAGGCCAGGTTGAAAAAAGCACCTTGAAGACATCTGGCCCAGGTCAATAACTAAATTTCCTAGTCCTGCATCTCGGACTTCAGATAGTTCCCAAGAACTGAAGGGAAATGTTTTCAAGGGGGAAAAAAAAACCCAAGAAAGTCCAGTTGCCTTTTGGAAAAGCACTTTTGAGACAACCCTGACCTGGATGACTGAGAATCTCCGTAGACAGGTAGTCCTCAACTTATGACCACAGTTGGGAGCAGAATTGCAGGTGTTAAAGGTGGCTGTTAAGCGAATCACGATGGGGTTTACTACCGTTTTTGCACAATTCTTAAGCAAATCACTGCGGTTGTTAAGTGAATCACTTGGTCACTGAGCAAATCCAGTTTCCCCCATTGACTTTGCTTGTAGGAAGCCGGCTGGGAAGGTTGCAAATGGGGATCACGTGACCCTGGGATGCTGCAACCGTCATAAAAGACAACAACAATAATAATACAGTTGGAAGGGACCTTGGAGGTCATCTAGTCCAACCCCCTGCTCAGGCAGGAAACCTTATACCATTTCAGACAAATGGCTGTCCAGCCGCCTTCTTGCCGGTTGCCAAGCGCCTGAATTTTGCTCACGTGGCCCTGAGGATGCTACAATGGTTCTAAGTGCCAGGGCTGGTCATTCATCCTTTTTTTCAGTGCTGTTGTGACTTTAATTGGTCACAGAATGAATGGCTGTAAATCGGGGACTACCTGTAATTAAAAGGCTTAATCCTAAAAGGCTGGCAATGGAAAATGGAAAACAGCTCGACTTACAACCATTTGTTTATGGGAGCGTTCAAAGTTATGGCACTGAAAAAAAGTGACTTGCGACCAGTCCTCACACTTACAACCAACTCAGCATCCCCCTCCCCCCTCCCAGGCATGTGATTAAAATTGGGTGCTTGGCAATCAGGATGTATTTACAACAGTTGTAGTGTCCCGTGTGTGTGTGTGTGTGTGTGTGTGTGTGTGTGTGTGTGTGTGTGTGTGTGAGAGAGAGAGAGAGAGGGAGACACACACACACACACACACACACACACACACACACACACACACACACACACACACACACACACACACACACGATCACCATTTGCCCCCTTCTCAGCTGGCTTCAATGGGGGAAGCTGGATTGACTTAATGACTGGTTGATTCGCTTAACAACCATGATAAAAATTGGTTGCAAAACTGTAAAACTAGGCACGACTCATTTAACAACGGCCTTGCTTAACAACAGAAATCCTGGCCCTCCATTGTGGTCATAAGTTGAGGACTACCTGTAAAAGTTGAAGAGGACAGCCAGCAGCAAGGGAGATGGACACAGTTACAGAAGTGATGCGGTCACTATTGGAAGACCTGGAAGACCGTGGCTGGCTGGGGGAATTCTGGGAGTTGAAGTCCACAGTGGCCACGGTTGAGAAACACGGATAGAACATAATGCTTTGGCAGGCTGAGAAAGAGATGGGTCATAACCATCCAAAGTTCAGCTTGTTTCAGATACTAGGCTAGGCTTCCTTTGGTTCTGAATCAGCCCGTTGGGCAGACGGCCGCCTGTAATTTCAACAAACCATAGTTAAACAAACTATCATATGTGAGTCATGTTCTCCACCTTTCCAGATCTTCACGTCCTTGCAAGGAGGCCATCAAGAGCCATGATTTACCTAAAAAGGAAAAGAATCTCCTGCTTGAGTAGGGGGTTGGACTAGAAGACCTCCAAGGTCCCTTCCAACTTTATGTTCTAATTGCTAGTGCCGCTCCTTACCTTGCAAGGCTTGAGCCTTGGCTCCTGATCTTGGGGAGCCAAAGGGGGGGAAAAAGCAGGAACCAGCCAGAAAACTCCCTGCCAAGCCTGGCAGGCAGAAGGGCAACACCCCAGCTTCCTTCTGACCAGTCCAGTCTCATAATTTGGGCCTTGTG